TGGTATAAGAAGCGTGATATTATAGATCGGCAATCTTTTAATCGGCAGCAAAATTTGAGAATGAAGATATCCCATAAATTCTATAGAAAGTTACGTGCATGGAGGTTTTTTATCTCTGGATTCCCCTTTTCATTTCATTGTGCCTTCTTTTGGCTAGATACTAATTTTGTCCATAAAAAAACGGTATCTTTCTCTCACATAAACACACAATTAATTTCTAGTATTAGATTTTCTGAATTTTCGTTTTGTCTAGCCTTTTGATGCATGTGGTATATAAAATCAAATTTAAAGCATTCATACTTAACTACTGTCAAATAATAATGAATAATCCCGCAATTATATTCCGCCACATTTCGACTGATTCACCAATGTTTAATTTTGTTGTTAACATATTTCCCATCTTCCGGTCTAATTCACATCGTACAATCAAAACTTTAGGCCCAGCTGAGTTTGCGTAATTTTTTTTTAAATTCCGAATGTTTACTTACAGCGACAAAATTTAAGGAAAAAAAAAAGCATTACCCAATAGAATTGTACAAGATAAAGATTTTTCCAAATTCATCATGCGTTCCATTTAACCAACTGTAAAAATGTCCAAACATGGCTGTAAGTCATCCTTCGTTTTTTAGGCGAAACTCACCTACAATTTTGAGCGAAACCTAGCGTTACAGGTTTTATAAATTTTTTGGAGCAATGCATTCAGGCTTTAATGAAGCAACTGGAGTGCAGCGAAATAATAGCGACTGGATTATTATAGTTATGAGCATATGTTTCACTTGGGAGGTTGCTAAGTGACAAACAACTTTTAAACTAGGGAAACTGCAATATAAAAACAAACAAACAGAAAATAAGTAAACTCAGTAAAAATTATACTGCACTTACCAAAATGCTAGATTTTATAATCATATCTTATGATACAAATTATTTTAGAATTTCAAAACTTTAACACTATAATGACCTTATCGTGTTTGCCACAATATATTTTAAACCTGAACGGCAACTTGAGCGACACATGGGCTAAATGAAACCACAAATTTTAGGCATAGCCATCTCTAATTTAGTGCCCTTCCCCCCAGTAACTCGGTGATAAGTCTCTGAACTTATGAGGTTAAAAATCGGGTTTTGGTATCAGTGGTGAGCACAGCACAAATAGTCCATTGTGATTAACTCTGACTTAGTACTCCTGGCCAAATGGAGAACACTCGCTCAGCAGCACCAATTGTCTATACAAATTCTTTTAACCGAATAACTGGACTTTCACGATTATAACACCATCACAACTAAAATTTTGGAGTGTGTTTCACGTCGTATTGCGACTCGAATCTTAGACCTTGTGTACGCAGCATAGCCCACCTTCTAGGGTAATTTACAAAACATTTCATGCAGCTTCTTGATCTTAGCTCCGTATTATAAAGTTTGGTGCAATTTGTGTGAACCTAAAATCGCCAGAAGATTTTAATAACCGATGGTAAACGTCTTAAAGAAAAAAAAAACCTTGTTTCCGCAGTTCTTCCTTGGGGTACACTAAAAGTATACATAAAAACAAATATTCGTTTTCCTGGATACAGCAATAAATGAATAAAAGTATGAAGATATATATATTGACTTGAAATCCTGTATGCAAACTTATCTGTTTACGAACACACACACACACATACTTCGTTAAAACATGGCTAAAAACACGCTGTGTTTCAAAAATTTTTTATTTGAGTGACGCAGTTTTCTTCTGTAATGACACAGTTTTAAATCACCTTTACAGTTACCAGGCGTCCCAGTTTGTAGCTTTTTTTGCCCCGATCAAAAACAGTAAAAAAACTGAATTGTCCTAGTTTCTCTGTACCTCAATACGAATTTGATATGCAAGGTTTGTCACTATATTTTACAGCCCATCCTCACTCTCTGCTACGTTTTCACTGGGCAGCCGCGAAAGAGAAAACGAAGACCAAATATTTTTCTTTTGAATAGGTAAAAGACAACTTAGGCGCGTTTGTTATTACTACTTCAACTAAATAAGCTTTTAACTTATTTTGCTTGCCTATAGTTATAAAACGCGTTGTAATGAATATCACATTATTTTGCAAATGGTAAAACGTTAGTTATTTGTAATTTTAACTGTTTCAGAGAGTTTTACAGTGTAACTCCATATGAAAAAAGTCCAAGTTTTTCACTCTGCAAATCTAGTAACCCTAATCATCCTTAATATTATCAGTGTTGTAAATTAAGTTTACCAGTTTCAAGGACAGCATCTTAACATCGACTTTGAATGAGGAAATTCAGGTCCAAAATAGACTATTATTAACGCAATGTATAATGCCGATTTTCCTGTCTACATTATGTAAAGATATACACTAGCTTTTCACAGAACGTATTGCATACAGAATTTAACTCTTAAAAATATTAAAACTGCAATTATCATTAGCGTCTGCCTCAAAAAAAAGCTACAAAGATAGCCACGATTAAATATTAATCCATTAATGAATATAGTTCCTTTAACATACCGGTTTTTCTTATGACATTAATGATGATAATACATTGATTCATCAGTTGGGTACCCCCCCCCCATTGTTAGCGATATTTTCCACAGTAATCCCAATTTCTCACGAGACTCTAAGTGATTTTGTATTTTATTGTTTTGCCGTTATCCCGAAAATTAATAAAGCAATTTTCGATAGCACCGTTTTGGTTCATGTTTGAAATTTTGATTCCAAATTTTGAGAAAGGCATACGATTTTCAAAAAGGGCATTACTTAAGTCAATAACGGAGTGTAGGAAAATTAATTACACGTTTGGTGTGACTTCAAATTTTACGCATATATTATTATTTTGATGAAAATATGTGTAGGAAAATTAATTACACGTTTGGTGTGACTTCAAATTTTACGCATATACTATTATTATTATTTTGATGAAAATATGTGTAGGAAAATTAATTACACGTTTGGTGTGACTTCAAATTTTACGCATATATTATTATTATTTTGATGAAAATTATGCTGCTGATTTTGACAACTTTGATCGTTTCTTAAAACCAAATTTACCTTGAACATCAAGGTAATCATGTTATTTCACAATTATGTACTATATATGTTTTGAGTGAAAAACGGCATATTTCATTTTCATTAAAACCTTATCATAAATTGACAAAACACAACGTAATACCAGCTTTAATATATCAGTTGTATCTGTAACTGAAAGCAGTGAATTTGATGTAGCAGTGATGGACAATATCTCTAATGCTAAATAAAACAGTGATTACAGTATCCAGCCCAATTTACAATAACAAACACACTGAAACGAAGTTTATTAAAACCAAATTTAATTCCGAATATTTATGTATTTGGTGACTTAAATTTCTTTCAAAGTTACCAGAGTTAACAACAATGCCATTTGGCACCTGTACTTTTCACAAACAGGTAAGTTTCGAGTATCTAACAATAACTAATATGTTCATGAGCCAGAGATAAATGTTATACTCAGGGAACACTGTTTAATATGACTACTTTGATGATGGATAAGTTAAGGTGTATAAAAGTATCAGTTTGAAAATGGATATATAGAATTTATCATGTTTCTGAGGGTAGATTTAATATTTGAAAATATACTGGAATGGTGTTTACTGGACTCAGTTGTAGGACCTTATACAAGTCCAATCAAACCATTAAGAATAGAAATTGATTAGCAAGAATTTCTGATTTAAACACCATCTCTAGGACATCCATAATGTCATGTATGTCATTGCCTTAATCCACCATACAATATTAGAGAACTTAGCATCACACTGACTGAGGAATAGGACAGATTCCCCATTATCCTGTACTCACTACCTTTATTGTAAACTCAGATTATTTCAGAGAAGTTAATTCAGTGACACACTAAATCTTAACTATTTTGAACTTGTAGGTACTCATGTTTCATAAGTTTGTAATTCACTGGATGATATACTGTCAATGAAATTGATTAAGTGTAAACATAATCTACAGATAACTAAAAAAAAGTTAAGGACAACTTGGAACATGTTAGTCCATCTAAGCCATTACATCCACTACACTTTAAAGAAAAACAACTCAAAGCTAGCCCTTATCATTCAAATATTTAACAAGCCTTTCCTTAATTTGCTGTATCCACCACATCTGAAGGCAACCCATTTCAAGGCCAATCACCCTGTTAAAGAATAAAACTATATTAGATGAAATGGATTCTACTCTACCAACATTTCTTATTTCTGTCCCTTAGTCCTGCCATTCTCACCATCAAGTACAAAAAAATAAATGATGATGCATCAATTCCCTTAACAGTCCTAAACACCTCAATCAGATCCCCCTGTAATTCTTCTTTCAAGAGAAAACAATTAAAGAGATCTTAACCTGTCCTCATATGACAACCATTTTATCTTGCATATCATACTAGTAGCCCTCTCCTGAGACATTTTCAATAATTTACTGTCATTCATGACCCCAAGACTAAGCATAAAACTCCAAATATGACTTAATCAATGATATTATAACCTCTTCAGACTTGCATTCAATATTTCTGTACATACAACCAAAAATCTGTTTGCCCTACCACTAGTTTGGATGGCTTAAAAGCTTGATCAACCAGAACACCAAGATCTTTTTCTTCCATTTTTAAGGTTATTCCCATTAAAATTATAGTTATAATTCATATTACAATAAACTACACATTACATTACAAGGTACATTTGAAAACTCAAATACACCAACTCCGCACCCTTACCCTCATCTATGAAGTAATCTCTTCAAAGAGTGTCAACAGATTATTAAGGCAAGATTTTCCCTTAGTGAAACAATGTTGACTATTAAATATAATATTAAACTTTGTTAACTGACTCTGCAAAAGATCTTTTATCAGACTTACAAAACTTCTCCCACTGCTGATGTAAATATAAAACACCTATAACTACTAGAACAATTTTTACCATACCCTTGAAAAAAAACAAAAACATTAGCTAACTTCTAATTCTCTGGCTCCTTCATGCTATTCAAGAACTTACAAAAAAAAAAGTTTACATGGTTCACAATCCAATCCTTGGGTTTCTTCAAAACCCTTGGGAAATATCTGGCCCAGGAGTCTTACATTATTTAAACTTCATAATTTTTTATTAACAAGCTCAGAATTAATGAGAGTACTTTGTATGATCCTGTTTCCATCTAGAAACTGTTCAAGATAGGGAATATTGCTTAAATCTTCAGTAATAAAAACTAAAGAAACATGTCAAATTTAATAACCCAGTCATTGCAGAATCATCATGAGCCTTCCTTTCTTTCATCCCTCAAAGGATTTATTCTCATCCTAACTTACTCTTAATGTATTTAAAGAAGTCCTTACTGTTAATTTTTACAACCTTTTTTTCATATAGCATTTGATCCTTCGATGACATTCTTGTTCACTCACTCTTGAGTAAAGTAAATATTTGAATCCAAATTTAATGCTTCATGGAATTGATTATTACCCTCTTATTAAACTCCTGTGAAATACTGACCTCCACTAAAATAAACTCTTACTTCATTCTGTTACTTATTTGGTTGAAAAACACTTTAGTTATAAAATCTTACCTTTAATTATTTGGATTAGTTTTATACATAGATTTAGTTTTCTATTACTCAACATAATAATTGGTATTTTACCTTCATTAATCTCAAGATCTTAAAAACAATATGTTCTTTCTGATACAACTAGTCTTTTATTATGCACACTACATGTATTTTGTGATATCCAACATGGCTTTAAGGACAGAAAATTAAGACTTTCATTATTTGTTCTTGCCAAATATTTGATAAGTTTATTTGCTGTGAAGCATCATGACTTTTTATAATTTGATCTACATGTTTTGATAACATGATGCCTGAGACAAAACTCTGGTCTTCTAGTTCTACTAAAACGTTATTAATGGAAATTCTAATTAATTAATTTTAATTTCATTTAGTTTTAACAGCTCACCAATATCTACATGTTACTCTAAAAAAGATTAGACAGTAACACCTGTAACAGGTGCTCATTTATAATGATCTTTGTCTTCCCACTGGTTTATTTGAATAGTGACCAGAGACTGGCCTTTAGATTCCACCTTTCTGTCCTAATACAGAGTCATTACATAGATTGATTTATTGGCAATTTAAAATAAGTAAGCAATAATAAATCACCATAAGTAATACATTCTACTTTTCTATGCATAATATTAATTTACATATAATGGTACAGTCATAGCTTCTTTGTAATTATATTTCTGAAGTGTTAGGCAAAGGAGAAATTGAAACATTAAACTGTAACTGTATTCATCAAGACTAATTACTAAGTTAGTTCTTAAAATATGAATGTGAACTTTTGACCTATACTCACGAATCACATTATTCGCTAGACTACAGAACCACTATCAATAACGCTGTGCCAATTTACTGAATTACGAATTAGGCTAAGCAAGACGATGAATTTTGATAACGGTTATTCGTTTGACAAAATAACAATTTAACATGCATAAACTGATAAGGTTAAACTAATAATATTAAAAATCAAGAGTTGTTAAAATAACCTAACGATAATGAACATAATGAATCTAAGATTATCTTTCGTACGCAAGATGTCCACTGAATAAACTAAGACCGAGTACGCTAGCCTAAAGTTTGAACCACGAAAAAATGCAACCTAATTAATAGTAATAGCAAATTTAATGTGATGAAACGAATATCGTTAATCTAGGGGTAGGCCAGCGGCAGCGGTTCCCAAACTATGGGTCGCAGAACAAGAATTAAGATACACTCAATTCATACAGTAAAATATAACATATGTTTACTAAAAAATACATGTATAAAACCACTACGAGACTTTACTAAAATACATCAAAACAGTAACTCACTTCCCAACTGAGCGTGATCCTCAAAAATTTTCCCTTAGCTACTCAGAATGTCAGATGTGTTATTTAAATTAGGAAAGCTCGGGAATCGCTACCAAAGATATCGATTATTTTCTCATAATTATAACTTAAAACTAAAATTTTTAGATTATCAGTAACTATTTCTCACCTTGCTGTGAAATTTCCTCTGAAATAAATTTGCTGTAAGAAAAAATAAACATCCAGTTTCGTAAATACTTTTGACATTAATACTACATCCTAACCGTATGCCAACCATTGCCGTCGCCATCGTGCCTCGAAAGTAAATTCGTCTGGGGGTGTGTACAAGGACTTTCCAATCGTGAATGCAATAGCTAAAACGTCACAAAAGCCAGTCCCCTGACCCTTAAAGACCTATTAATTTATCTTTTCAAATAAAAATCGCCAGTCAAAAAATTCACCTATACACCATTATTACATCATAGTATTTCACAAAAATTCGTTAACTGCCTTTTAACATGTGTACAAAAGGCACTTCGTATAGTTTTTATGGCGTTTTGAATTAGATACCGTTACTTTTTAATGTGCTGTGGAGTATGAAGAAAATGAAGAAAAAGCCAGTCCCCTGACCCTTAAAGACCTATTAATTTATCTTTTCAAATAAAAATCGCCAGTCAAAAAATTCACCTATACACCATTATTACATCATAGTATTTCACAAAAATTCGTTAACTGCCTTTTAACATGTGTACAAAAGGCACTTCGTATAGTTTTTATGGCGTTTTGAATTAGATACCGTTACTTTTTAATGTGCTGTGGAGTATGAAGAAAATTTATGCTAGTTATTAGTAAATATTCTTTATATTTTTATTCACTTAAATGAGTATGACTTACAAACTATACAGCCGTCCTAGTAATTTTACACACGCTCACAAAAGTAAATAAACATTTCTCATTGGGATATAAACCAAAAAGGAAACGTTTTTGGGTATAAATGAAATGTGACATTAGATTTATTTAAAAACTTGTCTTGATATTCCGGATAAGTTAAACTGATATTAGAAATCTAAAATGTATTTAATTTTGTGTTTAAATTTAATGAAAAACTTAATATAGATCATAACTAAAATTTTCAACAAAAATGAGAACCTAGGTAGTATACTGTAGTGTAACTATATTTTATGAAAAGTTTGTTTGTTTGTTATTAAACACAAAGCTCCGCCCACTACTGGTATCGAAACCTGGTTTCTAGCGTTGTAAGTCCGAAGACATGCCGCTGTGCCACTGGGGGGGGGGGGGGTTATGAAAAGAAACGGCCAATATCCAACGAACGTTTTACCTTATGGCTTTGCTTGTATTCACATTAAGGTGTTTACCCGTACGACGAAAAGTTTAGAAATTGATTAATCTTCACTGGATACTGGCTATTTCTATTCATAGAAATTAGAATCATTGCTTTGATTTAATTTTTCATTGAATTTGAATTAAATAATTTTTCTACTTCAATAGTTTGTTAACTCATTTCCTTTATTTTTTTTCAAAAATATAAATTATTTTTAGGTTTTTCTGGACAAAGATCACATTTACAAATCCACTATTATAATTGATTAGTCATTAATTATATTAAAATTGTGAATTAATACTACGAACGTTGTATTACGAAGTATCTTATGTAATACTTTATTACACTAAATGTTTGTAGTTAAGCGCAAAGCTACACAATAGGCTATTTGTATCGAAACCCGGATTTTAGCCTTGTAAGTCCGCAGACATACCGCTGTACCACTGAGGGGTACACTACATATTGCTCAACGATAAGTCTGAGGGCTTAATACACTAAAAGGTTTTGTTTCGATACCCGCGATAGGTAGAGCACAGATAGCTCGTTGTGTAGCTTTGTGTTTTGCTTGACAACGAAACAAACAACATCTCAGTGGCACATTGATAAGCTTGAGGCCTAACCCGTTGAAAAGCAGCTTTTAATAACGTCGAGAATACAGCGCAGAGAGCCCATTGTATAGCTTTGCGCTTAACTAAAAACAGTGTTGGATGTATTCTATTTGCTACAAATACCTAATACGTGTTACATTAATGAAGTAAAGAAATACCTTTATCAATCAGTTAAGCTGGAAAAAAGCTGTTTAAAACGTCAAGATTTTCTATTTCCCACTAAAAACAAAACAGAAAACATATCTGTACACTATAATAAGTTATATTTGTCATAACAGTACTTGTCAAGTTTATTTTATTTTTAAACACTGCATTTTTTGTTCTCTTAAGGTTTTTCAGACAACGAGATTTTACAACAGTACAGTGACGTAACTACGATTTCTGTATCCTCTCGCGTAAAAATTTATAAAGGCCCTCCAAAAAAAATATTGTCTAATTTTTATTGGGCTCCCTGAGCTCTCGCCCTTCCCCATCCTCCTACCACATTGTAGTCTCTGCTGGACAGTAGCTACGTCACTGTAACAAAATTTCAATCACACTATGTTTCGCCATATACATTTTCGACAGTACGTTTCGTTAGGACACAACAAACACCAAAATGATCGAGTCTGACATGGCCTGGTGTTTAAGGAACCTCACTCAAAATTTTCGAGTGGCGAGTTCGAATCCTGGCACCGAACATGCTCACCCTTTCAGTGATGTGGGCGTTATAATGTGTCGGTCAAACCCACTTTTCGTTAGTAAACGAGTATTCCAAGAGTTAACGGTGAATGGTGTTGACTAGCAGCCTTTGCTCTAATCTATCACTGCTAAATTAGGGACGGCTAGCACATATATCCATCGAGTAGCTTTGCGCGAAATTCCAAAAACAAACAAACAAGAATGGTAGGTATGCTATTTTTATAAGCCATTTGTTATGGTATGAGTTCTTCTGTCGGCGAGGTGTGATAAAATTAAAAAGACTTGTTACAAGACAAACGTATTGGGTTTATTGAATTTTTAAACACTACATTCTTTATTGGGTGCCCTTACGGGTTTTGCGAGAAGAGTGTATAATAGAAATTCCTTAGTGTGCTGGCATACCATGCTTTTTTCACCTTCTTATTTAAATATGAATTTTTTTTCTTTTAAGTTTGTGCAGTTTTCAGCTAACAAATGAACAGATTGGTTTGGTTGGTTTTGAATTTCGCGCAAAGCTACTCCAGGGCTATCTATGCTAACCGTCTCTAATTTAGCAATGATAGACTAGAGAGAAGGCGGCAAGCCAACATCACACTTGGCGAATTCTTGGGCTACTCTTTTACCAATGAATAGTGGGAGTGACTATCACATTATGACGCCTCCACAGCTGAAAGGGTGAGCATGTTCGTTGATGAGGATTCGAATTCGCTTCCAGCAGATTGTGAGTCGAACACCCTAACCACCAGACTAACATGGTCAAGAAAACGTTAAGTTGTTTTCTAGCTGCCCTTGTTCTCTTTCATTCCCTTGAGGTAACATTTGATACTTCCGTGGGAGGTATAGCTTTTGTATGGAAGTCGAGGACAGCTTCCTCCAATGATAGGTCAGGTGGTGTCTCGAGGATACAACCTACCTTATTTTTCAAGTGTAAATGACCAGCCGCTTGGTAAGTCAATTGTTCTGATTAAGTCTTATGTTACCGATTTAACTGAATAACGTGAATTTTAGTAAGTCTATAACAATATTTCGAAGGAGTCGGTCAGCCTTTGATAAATCTTGAGAAAGTAATGATAGTTTGATCAATTTACCCCTTTAGTAAAAGCGACTGTCGGAATCCAAAGGTAAAATATACACGCTGTTGCTTTGTGCTTAAATAGATATTGTTTTGTTGTATATTGTGTCTAGTTTATTTATTTCTTAGCACAGACTCAGTTAGTCTTAGCAGAATTCAAAATTACTTCATAATATATCTTGCCGAATTTCCAGTTATGTAGTGGACTTATCCGATTCACTCTTTACCGAAATCAATTTTTACTGAATATATCACACCATATTATTGCTGATGGTCTATGATACTACAAACACAGCAGTCTTCAGAACACCCCTTGCACAAACCGTTTAGTAGAATAACAGTTGCAGTGATTTAAATGCTTTTTGCTGATGAATCATGAATACAATTAATTATATTTGTTATATGGGAACAGTATTAGGCTTGTTGTATTTTTAAACAGTACATTCTTTATTCTGTTCATTAAAATTCTTCCAAGAAGAAGAATGTACAACAGTATTTTAACCACACTATGTCGGCTTGATGAGCTCTGGCATTGAACAAAACGTGTCAACGTCAATAGATATAACGGAGTATAAGCATAATACAGTTGAAATGTGTAATACTATTAAAGACTCTTCTTCTCTGGAAAATCCTGAAAGACGAAATAAGGAATATGGTATTTAATAATCCAGTAAGCCTAATATTGTTGTCTTAAGACAAGTATGATTTATTACCATCACGCCTCACCAGGAAAAGGCGTTATATGAATTAGAAGTTCATATTAATTATGGAGTGTTAAGTATAAAGGAAAAGTCTTCGAAAAATACAAATATGATATTGATTTTTATGTTCTTCTACTTTTCAATGTCGCAAACAGTGAGAGCAGAAATCAACCCTTATTAAGATCAAGCTGTGCTAGGCAATATTTTTCCGAGTTCAGTTAGGCGTGCTCTAGTATTTGGTGCTCAGACTGTGAATCTGAGAATTTACGGCTAGTCAACAGTATTGACCATCAACATTTGGGCTACTCTTGTCTGATTGAATAGTTGGATTTGACAGTCTTTCTTATGGCACATTCATATGCCCAAAGTGTGAAGCGTATTTTTGCATAAAGGGACGTGGACCGTAAATTTTCAGATTCACAGTCTGAGCACGCCTTGTCTTCTTCTGGTCTATCAGCTGTAGTATTCTGAGATAAACTGACTTCTGTGGAAGTATCAGATATGTCTGCTTAACCCTATGTGCATAGGTGAGGATCAATGTTCACATTCTACAACCTTTTACAAAGTGCCATTCAATGTGGTATCATGTATTTAATATCAGAGTTATCAATTATTTATATTACTCTACATTGCTGATTTAGCTACAGTTCGTGGTATCGGAGAGCAAATACTATATACATTGTACAGGAATACTGGAAAAGCTATCGCTATGTACTTCAGAGGATCTTGAAGTTATGTAATATTGAAACTGTATGATAGACAAAAGTATTTTTATTCTTCACATGAGCATCACCTTGCATTCGGACTTGTCAGTCTGACATAGTCAATTCATAAAAATATCTTGAGTATAAGTACTTTTGTAACACATCTGATTCTTTGTATTCAACAGACTTGTTCACTTTACTACAAGCGTTTCACATTTTGTGTAGATACACATAGTAAGTTTGAAATTATAATAAACATTCATTCTTTAATATAGGGTCAATCCAATGAACGACCCCTTGCACATTTGGTTATTAACAGGAGGATTAAGTATGCTGAAAAAAAAAAGAGATGTCATGCACTAAACCAGTGAAAGACGTCGCAGTTAGTGATGTTTTCCTAATGTACATAGTTGCTGAAACATTCCAACAGGCAGAGTATATACTACTCGCTCTCTAATACAACAAAGACACAAAGGAGACTAGAACGAAACAATTTCAATGGTGTTTTGGACCACGTTTATGTAAAAACTGCATAGAAACAAACTAAACCATTTTTTTATTTCTATATTAATAAAGATGTTGAAGAAACACGTAACATGGATGCATGTCACATTTATACCCTCATCTGTGTTTCAGACTTGTCCTCAAGTCAACAATTACAATTTAACCCAATAAAGTTGAATTTTATAACATGGTCAAGAATCACATTTTTCAAATGATCAATTACACGCCACATGGAAAACATAACACTTAAACAAATAATTGCATTTAACCATAAGAAAATAACCCTTTAACGAAAATGTAAAATGACAATACATCACGATATATGATGTAATAAAATCTTGTTTGTTTGTTGTTAAGTGCAAATTTACACAATGGTTTATCTATGCAGTGCCCACCATGGGTATCAAAACCCGTTTTTTTTTGCGTTATAAGCCTTCAGATTTACTGTTAAGCCACTGAGAGGCAGATAAAAGAAACCCCTTTGACCGTAATTTAAAGATCAATACAAGGTGATGCATCATCACAATAAAAAATCTCGTTTAAGTTTGCTGGAATCAATAATGTAAGATATAATGAAGTTATACAAGTAAGAAAATATACTAAGTGAAAGAAAATCTTTTAATTTTATGGTAAAAATCAAAATAATACACTATAAAAAAAGAGAACCGTTTAACAATAAAATACATAATATTAACATACAGCATAGAAATACAATAAGTACATACCCAAACCCCTTTAAATGAAGTATAAACATATAACAAAGAACTTTAACAATGATTATCAACCTCCTTTAGAAGGGGAAAGAACATAAAATAAAACAACTGAAAAACTTTTACATAAACGAAACAAAAATTAATGAAGCTGACAAGCAGTAAAAAATTTTGCACCTCAAAAGACTCTTTTAAAAACGAAACATACAACCAGGCAAAATAAAAACCCTTTATAAAACAAAATAAACTGTATTACAAAACAAGACTTTCAAAGAAAATTACAAATACTAAAATACAACTCAGCCAAGTGAACCTTTTAACCCAAACTGCATAGAAACAAATTAAACGCAATTTCTTTAAAATTCTTATATTAATAAAGATGGCAAAAAAATAAACAATATTATATGCCCTCATATCCCATATTTTTGCACAAAATTCTGGGGCAGAATGAATATTCTGACTTCACATTTTCTGTATAAAACCATAGCAAGCATTGATGAAACAAAGGCTAATATTCTACAACTTCAATATTCAATAAAAGTATGTAACTTAGTCCTTTTTCCCAACAAAGATACACAAGTCTGATGATGCACTCTAAATTTCCTGTTGTACAAGAAAAGAATGGGATGTTAGTCCATCACAGACTAACCTCCAGCTATTAGCTGTTACCTATACTAACCTCCAACTACCATATTGAAGTAACTGGGATAAAGTGTCATGTTCAAGAACATGCCACCATTTTGTGAGCAAGCCTTGAAACTGTAACTAAATTGCAAACATTAAAAATATATGTAAGTATAATATTTCAAATTTATATTATAGATATTTATTGATTTGTCAGCTTTTACTATTCAATAAATTTATTGTTTCTAGGAAATAATTCGTTACAATGAAAAAACAAAGGGAAAGGTGACTAAGTTTATGGTTGAAATTTTTGACTTTCAAGAAAAGGCTATTATGAAGAAAAAAACAAAGAAACACCCATTATAATAAAAAGTTTCCATCTTGTTAAAATTATTTTGCATAATTGAGTGGAAATTAGATAGACTTATTGTAGTATTTCATTGTCTGACTTCTGCTGAAAGTATTTGGCTTGACAATGATGTCTTTGATATTCTAAACGTCTTTAAAATATGTGCATATAATACTTCAAAGAAAAAACATTATCTTTATTTAACAGTGCTCATAATCTCTAAATGAAGTTCAACAGTAATTTTCCATACTGCCAAAATATGAGGCATCATGTTTATATAGTAAACTAGCGAAAGTACCCAGCTTCGCTCGGGTTATTTGGTTGATATGTTCTAGATGTCTATGTTGAAACAGGACAAACATCAAAAATGATTTTGTAAAAATCCCTATCTTCTATCTTACTGAATATTCAAACAGTATAAAAATAATATACTAAAATGTTTACTCTGATGTTCTACAAATAAGTTGGTCAGTAGATTTGTTTGTTTGTTTTTGAATTTAACGCAAAGCTACACGAGGGCTACCTGCGAGACTAGAGGGAAGGCAGCTAGTTATCACCACCAACTGCCAACTCTTGGGCTACTCTTTTACCAACGAATAGTGGGATTGACTGTCACATTATAATGCCCCCATGGCTGAAAGGGCGAGCACGTTTGGTGGGACTGGGATTTGAACCTGCGACCCTCTGATTACGAGTCGAGCGCCCTAACCACCTGGCCATGTCGGGCTGGTCAGAAGAGATAACCTATAACAACTATATATAATATATATGTACAATTTATATATTTTTTCTTTATTTTCGTGTAAACTGCATTTTCTCAAACTTACAATACATTAAGTTTAAGACCCTTTTATAAATTGCATCACTAAAGGAAAAATTACAGCAAAGGCACCATAAATAAAAGCAACAGTGGCTAAAGAGTTAATCTTAATTTTCCATTCTAAATTTTTTCTGTATCTTTAACCTGTCTCCCTCTCCCCACTTCTTCTCTTACATAAACAGGTAGTTTGTCTTCTCCAAGATGTATCAGTTTGATCTGAGTTTCAAGTAAAGTTTTCACCTCTTTCATGCCTCGAGACAAAACCTTTTCTTGATTTTCAAGTACAGAGACAATTTGGCAAGATGTAGCTTCCAGTCTGTCATTATGAATATTTATTTTGTCGCTACTACCTGTGCCCTCTCCAGGTATGATTTTTGAACTTCCAGTGTAACCAAGCATCTTCTTAATATCTTCAATAAATTCGGTCACTTGTATGTACTGTTTTTTTACTGCATTATTTAGAAAAAAGACTAGATTTTGAAGGTCACCCTGACCTGGAGTTTCTTGTGCAAATTCTTTCATCCATTTATTGAAGCTGGTTCCCAACACTCCAATCACTGCTCCACAAACTAAGCTAATGAAAGACCAGTACTTCATTTTCTCTGCTTGAGCCTGCTCTTTTGAATGACTTTCTTGAACAGCTAATGATAATACAGAGAAATAATCCCTCTCATTGTTGTCTAGTTGTTTAAATTCTTCAATAAGATTTTCTTCTTCTTTAATGATACTATGCTCCTAAAAAGAAAAACACACACAGAATGATTTTTCAAAAATTATTAAACTTTCTTATAAAATTATTGTTCTCCTAGCACAAACAAAAATATTAATAAAAGAACTGAGCAGGTTTTTGATCATTCTATGAGAACTTTACATTTTATTTAAAAAAAAAGAAAGACACGTTTTTGTTTTTAATATGTTGATGTAAGTAAAAAGGTTGGTTATCTTTGGGTTTTACCAAATCATTTTCTATGTTGTACTTTCCAATCAACAGGTCTTCATCTTTTGCTAAGCTTGCTTCTAAAAATGTCAAGCTCAAACAATCATGACTGAACAAATGAATAATGTAAGGAACTAGTCTCTAAACCAAGCAGAATACTTTTAACATTTAAAACTTGCAGGTTTTCAATATACATTGGTTCATTTAAAATCAATCATTTCCAGAAGGTATTGAGTAATTAATAACAAAAAAAGATAACACAAACCTGACTAATTAATGTAAGATAATGATCCTCTCCTCGTGAAGTTTTGTCCAATTCTCTGTGGATGTCTTTTAAAGAAGCAGTCATTTGCTGGATTTTCTGTTGACAGTTTCTTCGAAGTTCCTGAGCATCAATAAATACTTGTTCTGCCTAGGTGGTAAAAAAAGAAATTAAAGAAAAATAAGTTAGAAAAGAAAAAAGAAATATTATACAAATCTAAGAAGTATTAGATGTATTTAATATCCCAATTCATCTATATATTTCACAAAAACTTCTCATTTGATAATATTAATAAATCATAATAAAAACAATTCTGTTCAGATTTTGGATATTAGTTCAGAAATACTGGTAATCAGGTTCTTTATGAACCTCAATTTTTGATAACTGGCATTGGAGCAAAGTCTACTAATAAAAAATTTCACTTAGTGCATTATTGATTTTCTATTATAAACTTCTACTAAAGAATTTAACTTGGAGCTGCTACTTTTGTTCGTATATTTTTAGTTTTTATCACTATCTAATAGCCAACAGTGATCTGACACAGAATATAGTACACAACTAACCACACACTGCTGATTAAATTTACTTGTCTTCAAAACATTGCAAATAAGTTTGACAGGGTGAAATTCAGTCAGTCAAAGATGACAAGAAACACTTATTGAAAAGATAATGGTGAGTAGGATAATTTTAAAAATACAATAAAATTTTGATGTGAAAAACACATTTTAAAATATAAATAATTATAGAATTTTAAATGAACATATATTTCAGATTATGATATGTAAAATATTATAAAAAGCTTATGTAATAAAATAACTTGAGATGGAATATTAATATCATAAGGCTGATGAATACAACTCTTTTGTATTAACAGACGTAAATGCTGTGGAAGCTGGCTGGTATAACAATATTCAGTTACTGAAATAAGAGTACAAATGCAACATCCATTGAAATAATTTACTGTTGTAAGAAATTAACATTAACACAAAATATTAGTAAAGCTGAATAATGTACACTGTAAGTAACCAGATCCTGTATCACTGCATCAAAAGTATGACTCTCAAACTAAAGATAACCTATCATGACCTGGGAGTTTAAAACCCGATTACAAAATGGTATATTATTTAAAATGAGAATTTTCATACACGGATTCAAGAACAATTAATGCATTAGATATAAACCTGTTTGTTTGAGTATATGTACAATTATAATTTATTGACAGTAGGAGAATAATTTTAATTTTAAAGTATGTCTACTGTGATGCAACAGTTAAGTCAAGCTCTGAATCCATTGGTTGAAACAAAAAGGTGGGTTTTGAGTGTGACTGTAGTGCCATGTTTAGTAACTTTGCGGCCTTCTTGAAAAGGGGGAGTCAAAATTAAGGGATGATGGACCCACCTTCAAAGTTATGCAATTACAGTCAACAGAATACTGTAACTTTAAATACAGTAAGCATATTTTTACAAAAAAAAATTCAGATTATCAGTAGACATTACAAGGCTTTCGTAAACAAAATATCAGATTTTTGTATCAAGTTTTAAGATTATTTAAGTAATGACTTGCTCATGCATTTTTTTTCTTTTTGAATGTTGACTGTCCAGCATAAAGAGTGATTTTGACTGCATTGATCCCTTTGATGACCTGTTGCTGGTAGTATCAACAGATTGACCCCGATCACATTGTGTCAGGGTGAAAGGGATGTCGGCAAGACCACGTTGGTTTCTTTGATGACCTGAGTGACAATTGCCATGCCAAATATCCAAGAAGCTGCCACGGTTGTGACTATTTAGTTATAGGGTAGGTATGCAGAAATTTTAAGTAAAGCCTGCTGACAAATCTGGCAACTTTTATTAGTATTGAAAATGAAATGTAATAAGTAATGTGAAATTGTGAAGTGAGTAAAAAAATTTTAAATTCATATACAAATGCTGAATGAATAAAGAAAGAATTACATTTCTCATTTTCCAAGGGGAGGGGGGGTAAGTTCCAACCCTTGTCAACATCCATGCATAAAATGGTGTATACATGTAGAATCATGTTCTACTGTTGTTCTTATTACAGCATAAGTTTATTACAGAATTAAAAAAACACTGTGAGCAAAGAGACAACAGCTGCAATGATATTTGAAATAAACAAAATAGAAAAACAGAATATAAAGATCCATGCTGTCAGAGAATTTTCTGCTATACATATATTTTCTTGCTTATGTGAAAAATTAAAACTTTTTTGCATATGTAGCCCCTTTCTTTGAATGCCTTGCAGTTAACAATAAGGTCCTCTGCCCTAGCCTTCCCAACATTATTAGCTTCTATGTGCACTAAAAAAACTACAGCACTGCTAGTACTCTTTACTTCCTCACTTGCTCTTTCAGTTATATCCTCTTCCCCTACCACTGGATAGCATAATCTAATTATTTTCTCCCTATAGAACCCAAAGATTATCCTGTCAACATGCCATAATAAAGAATTTCATATAACAATATATAAATTTTTTCTTAAATATACTTGTTTTGCCATGAATGACTATATTGTTTTTAACTGTCATAGCAGCACCCATGGGTCACAAGATTGACCAGCTTCTGTTGTAGCACACTGAAGGAATGTTATTTCGCAAAAGGGTTGGGGCAAAGAAGATTGACCTCACATGAGCTTCCCAATTCAGCTAGTTGCTCTACATTATGATACAATTTGCACATAGGTATTAATCCAGTCTGACTAGAAATATCTAACAGAAACTACCTTGGGGGCCCCCTTCCAAGCTTGAGGGGTAGCAGTCCCTGTCATCCCCCTTCTCAAATGACAACCCTTGCAAAGATGTAATTAAACTGCTACTAGACAACAAATGGAGATTTCATTGTAATTTGCGTTTCTATGTAAAATTATTATGTTTCAGTAGATTTCATTCAAACAAATCAATAAAAAGTTTGGACTATCATTCTCTTTTAATAGTTACTTTTTAAATTTATATTTTAATAATTTCTAGCATTTAAAAACAGATTCATAGTATACATAACTTAGTACGGGTTAAGGAAGATTTAAGTCAAGGTAAGAATAATACAGTCAGAGCTTTTCTTAAGAATTTTTTCAACTGCACAAATATTTTTACAGATGCACAATTTGTGATCAACTGCACATTAGGAAAACCCTGAATACAGACTGTAGAGTTTTGGTCAACGAGAAGGACACAAAGTATTTTAATACTACAAATACAGTAATAATAAATTATATTAGATACACCTAAACCTTATTTAGTTTTCCTGCAATTTTGACAAATACTGCCAAACAAATGTATTTGTTTAAACTATTATTACTATAATTAACTTCGAAACAATAATATAAACATTATTGTTAATAACGTTCGATTCTATCCTCTTAGCTGACACATGTACTTTATGCGCAGACAATTGAAGTAACCATGTGACTTTTGTAACCAATAAAATGTCAGTATCTTTAATACGCAGGTTGTAACATGCGCATGAATCCATAAATAAACTAATACAACTACAAAAAAAACAAAAAAAACGCCGACCCATCCCTAAAATTGGTGGCGTTGGAATGTATTTTGCTTCACTTTTCCGAGCCCTAAAATTAAATTATCTTTAGCATTAACTTGAGTACTCTGTACCTACTAAAATTGTACTATCCCAACAATAATTTCGGGGTACTCACAATCTCTCTACTTGAAAAACTGAGTTAGCCGTAATTCAAAATTATTTGACATACCTGCAGAACTTTGTTCTGTGCTGCTTTCACTTCAGTAAGACCTATAACATACTCATAGTATTTCATTAAATACGATAATTTGGATCCCACCTGCTCACTTGAAACTTTAGCAGTTATAATATTGGAAGTTGAATTTGAGTATCTCCTAATCATGGAACCATTACTGACTTTTTCAAGAGAATAACGAAAGAATCGAGTTGTTAACCTACCAACACACGCCATATCATATTTGTCTTAAGGAAGTTACAAAAAAAAAACGCAGGCAACCGGTAGTCGTTAGACTAGTTTACTGCTTGTGAGTTTGTTTTTCTCGTTCATTATGATAAGCAATACCAAACAATACAAAACAATTACATTGTGTATTGGAAACATTGAAAATATTTTGAAGTCACTAAATAACACGTACCATAAAAATATTCCTACTCTTTTGGTTCAACATTGGCTGATACATTTTATAACAACCAGTAAACTAACTTTTTAGACAACAAGACACATTAGTTAAACAAATTATACTGCATATACTTTCCTTATAGCTATATCATAAAGGGAGATAATACATCAACGAAAAAAAAAGGTGGTTAACAGCGAATGGAATATTTTGTTTTGAAACAAAATATAGCCTACTGGATTACTCATTTGTCAGCAGCTCAAAGGTTGATAAGAAACTCTGAGTTTTACCGCTATTTTTTAAAAAGCGAAAAGTTGAGTCTATACCTATTTTTGCAGTATTTTTAGTTAAACCGATTTTTCGAAAGAGTAAATTAGGTAGATTTGATATATACAGATAGGTTAGGCACGATATATTGCAAAATAAAGCTGAGTCCTGCTAAAAGACTACTTGAAATTGTGCTAAGAAATATATATAGACTGGACACAAAGTGTGAGAAACAATGAAAAATCTTTAGTTAATACAGCACAAATCAATAACATGTGTATTTCACCTGATGAAAGACTGACAATTGCCTTTAATTTGGCTATGGTCCTAAGAGGCTTATTTCCAAACTGACTAATCCACTCAAGATGATATCCTATACAACTAAATCTGACGTTACTTAGTTGAAACAGTAATATCAGACTTATTCAAAGTGAGACTGTAGCCTCGAAATATTCCCTGCTCTACCATTGGAGGACACTGCTGTCGACCTTCATGCATAAGGTGCAGCTTTACAGCTATGTCACCTATGGGCTTACTAGGCGTTTTCTCCAAAGGAAAGACAAAGAACAAAGGCAGGTAGAATAGAATCAACTTAATAAGCTTATTGACCATGTATTATGTGAAAACTGCACATACCCAGAATATACGCAATATTTGAAAATTCTACATTAACAGTTTGAC